ATGATGATTCTTAAGGCATAGTAGGGACTCACGAAAGGTTAGTGAAATGACTTGGCTGAAAGCAATCTTTATTTTTTCCCACTTCCCAAATGGGGCCTCAGTCGCCATTTCAGTGGGATGTGTGAGCAGGATTCTCTTTTGAGTGTCCACCTTCTTCCCAATTGCAAGGGAGGGACAGGGAGGAGACTTCCCTGGTGAGCCAGTGGTTAAGACTCCACACCTCCAATGCAGGGGGCGCAGGTTTGATTCCTGGTCAGGGAAGTAAGAGCACAAATGCCATGTAGTACAGCCAAAAAGATTTTAAAAAAGAAAAAAAAAAGGACCAAGTAGGCAGCATGAGAGGAAAGTCTGAGGCTGCTGCAGGACCAGGGCAGAGAGAACAATGCTGCACTCCCCAGGTGAAGCACTCAGATACCAGACGCCTCCACCAGCCAGGACAACACAGTCCTCACCTCACCACCGGCCAATCCTGAAACAGCTCAGACCAGTGCACCTCCTCTAGCCTCCTCCATCACCCCGGACAAGGCTGAATCCAGCGACACCTCCCAGCTGGCCTCTCCCCACAGGCATCCTCACCCCCACCCCAACCACCACCCCAGTCATGTCAGCCAGGATGAGCTACTCAAAACTCAGACCAGAGATGCAGAGAGCAGACTGGTGGTTTCCAGAAGGGAGGGAGGAAGGTCAGGGAGGAGGTGAAATGGGTGAAGGGGGTCAAAAGATGCCAACTTCCAGTTATAAGATGAATGAGTCCTAAGGATGTACAGTACAGCATGGTGGCCACAATGAATAATATTGTACTGTATATTTAAAAGCTGCTGAGAGTAAGCCATAAAAGTTCTCATCACATGTACACAAAGATGTTACCTGTACTCAGTGTGGTGATCATTTCCTGAAATATAAAAATCAGATCACTATGTTGAACACCTAAAACTAATGTAATGTGTCAATTACACCTCAACTGAAAGAAGGCTACAATCCAGCCAAGCCACTCCCAGTGCAAAAGCCCTCACTCAGAGGCGTCTCTCTGCACAACGCCTGCCCCTCTGGCCTCTCCAGCCTCCCTCTGGCCGTCGTGGGCCTGCGCTCGGTCTTCCAGAAGGCCTGGAACTCCCCGAGAGAGCACACTATCCATCCCACTAGGTCCCAGCAGTTGGTGCCCCAAACACTTTTCCAGCCACACCTCCGTCCACCACCTGGCTACCACCAGGAATCAGCTTAGCCAGATACCGCCTCCTCCAGGAAGCTTTACCCCCAGGCTGAGTCAAACGTCACCCTGTGGGTGCACACAGCCCCTGTTCTTCCCTTACCAGAGAACTGGCCTTGTTCTCTCTGCGGCCATAAAGTCCAGGAGGGCAGGAACCTTTACCTGTTTGCCATCCCATCAGCAGGCACCCAGTAAATCTTTCCAGGATTACTGTCATTCCAATTCCCTAGGATCATAAAATAATATAATTTCAGAGTCTCCTGGCCAGCCTATAACTAACAGTTTAAGTCAATCAACTCCTTGGAGCCTCTTCTCCCCCCCATAAGAGAGAGGAGAAGACCAGCTCTTATGCCTCACCACTCTAGGGCAACACCAGCCATCACCTGGGAGGTGGCCAGAAATGCAGTCTCAGGCCCCACCTGGACTCACAGGGGTCAGAAGCCCGGTGGGTGTGGCCCAGGCACCAGCTTTAACAGCCCACTCAGGCGGTTCTGGCCCTCAAGAAATAGGTGACACCGTGACTTGAGGCTTCCCCCTCCTGCCCTTGCAGGTGGATTTTGAAGACGTGATCGCGGAGCCCGTGGGCACCTACAGCTTCGACAGTGTGTGGAAGGTGAGCTACACCACCTTCACCGTCTCCAAGTACTGGTGCTACCGCCTGCTGTCCACGCTGCTGGGCGTCCCGCTGGCTCTGCTCTGGGGCTTCCTGTTCGCCTGCATCTCCTTCTGCCACATCTGGGCGGTGGTGCCCTGCATCAAGAGCTACCTGATCGAGATCCAGTGTATCAGCCACATCTACTCGCTCTGCATCCGCACCTTCTGCAACCCACTCTTTGCTGCCCTGGGCCAGGTCTGCAGCAACATCAAGGTGATGCTGCGAAAGGAAGTGTGAGGCCGGGTGGGTGATGGGGCGGCGGGGCAGGGGAGCCCACTGCTCGTGGGGCTGCTGATGGGCTCTTTCTCCTTGGGGACCACTGCTGCCCCCCAAGATGGGAGCACAGAGAGTAGGGAAGCCAGAGAGAAAAGACAGTCCACCACGGAAGCACAGTGGCCTTCCCTCTGCCCCCTGCCGAACCACGATGCCCCCGTGACTGGGCGCCAGGGAAGATCATGTGCTCAGAGGCAGCTACTGCAAATCTTTGCATTCACTTGTACTGTAACAGCATAAACCGGCCCACAGTTTCCACCCGGGACACCCTACCCCTGCCCCAGGAAACCACCAGTGACTGCTGGCATTAGGAGGGTGGTTCCAATAAAGGGTTTCGGTTGCATCTGGAGAACGCTGTTTTTCATCTGTCCACAATGTGGGTACGTGCCCTGATTAGCTCCAAAAATATATTTCACTGCCCTGAGAAGCAGAAGGGTCAAGCTGGCTAACCCATCTCTCAGCCAAATGCAAGAACCAGTTTGGTTTCTCCTGGGATTCTTGTTTGCTGGGTATCTCCTCCACTGCGCTCCTGGGGAGATTATTCCCCAATGACTTCTGATGCCCCTGGGCCAGCCAGGGGCTACTCGCAGAAGGAAATGATGACACCTGTGCTGGAAGGGGCAGATGACACTCCCTGGGCTCCACTGAAAGCAGGGCCTGGGTTCAAACCTCCCTTTCGACTCAGACACTGAGCCCCTGGCATCGCCTCTTGGCATGTACACCCTCAGCCCCAAGGGACGTGATGAGGGCATATGGTCCAATTTTTTCACATGTGGACCAAATAAAAGGCATTGAAAAAGCATGGTCCACCTCCTGCCCACCTAGCCTCAGCAAGAAAAAAAACTCAGAAAACCAGAAATCTTTCATTCTTTAGGGATGATTTCCCCAAGTGTGTTATCTAGAACTAAGTCCTCAGAAAATGCAGGGGGCAGCTTTTACACTTAAATTTGTTTGGAAAATGTATTATATTTCTCTCTGAGATTTTCATTAGACATTCAGTAGACATTAGAATGTTAAAGGCTCTGACAAGTCCTGCAGTAAAGAGAGCTATTTAGGCCAATAGCCTCCAATCCTATTTTACACACCCCCCCCCTTTTTTTTTAAGCAACACCTATAAGTCTCATGAAATTCAGGTTCCAAAGTACTCTTCATGTTTTCAGAGGCATCACCTCACTGGCACCTGGCCATGAGCCCAAGGGTCCTGGGGGTGGCGTGGCAGAGGGGACCACACCTGCGTAGGAGGCAGGGCAGAAGCAGCCTCCATTCTATCCTTGCCTCTCCTAGTTGGCCTCAACTTTATCATCCATGAAATGATCTCTAAAGTCCATTTAAGCTCTTTTTACCTGCTTTTGTTTTCTCGAGTATCATAGTATGAAAATTTCAAACACAGAGGAATGTTGAAAATGTCTTCGGTGAACAACTATCTACCCACCATCTAGGCTCTAGAATTCACATTTTACTGCTCTGCCTTCAACACATTCACACATTCCTACTCATCTTTCATCTGCCATTCTCCCCTTTCTTTTGCATTTTTAAAGAAGCTGCAATGTCGGTATATTTTGTTCTTAAACACTCATTGTCATCCCTTACTTTTTGCAAACAAGAAAGTCACTGTCCAGAGGTCAGACTTGTCAAAAGGTGCACAGCCAGTCACATTCATGCTGTAGTTCCAGCCCACTGCTCTCTGCTCAAGGGCCCTGCACATTCTCAAGTGGACTCAAGAGTCCAAGCTCCTCCTGCTGAAAGGTTTAAAGCAAGTACCCCTTATATCCCCTCAAAGGGCCTGCTCCTCAGACATTTCTCACATTGTTGGGCCAACCATTTCAGACTTGGAGTCTTGGGTTACGCAGAGACTTTTGACCATCTTGGCATTTACTGTGATCTAACTTGACCCTGACTCCAATTTTTCAAGCTCACTCTCCTTCTCTAAGGGCCAGACTATAGCGGGAGTTGTTCCTTCTGTGACCCCACCTGAAAAGTAGCAGTCAGGACAGCGCGCTAGGAGTATGATGACAATGGGCCAGAGAAGGGGGTGGCATTCCACTCTCATACACTACATCTGGCTCATGAGGTATTCTTGTTTAAGACATAGGTTGTGATTCAGTAGTGGAGACCAGGAATGACCACAAACCCATTTGTGATTCTGCAGGTAGCTCCCACATCCCATTTGAAGAAAGATATGCCTTAAGCTTCCTTCAAGATGACAATCTAGACTCCCATAACTCCCAGAGTTAGATGGTGGGTATGGCTACATCATACAAGAGGTTTGTGTATGGGTCTTAGAACATCTTCCAACAGAACTCTGATAAATGAGAGAAACTGTGAACCAAGAGACTGGGATCAGGTCCCTTGCTGCCCATCTCCCCAACCCCCACCCACCAACCTGCCACAGCCCAGATGCACCTGTGTCACAATCAGACAGATTATGCATATTCAAGGGAAGCCCAGCAAGGGAACTGAAGTCTGCAAGCCTCCAGATATGGTCACTGTTTTCAGAAGAAAGAGGGCAAAGCAACAAATGGAAAAATATGAATTTATTACGTGCACTTTTTATAGAGCAACTACTGAAGCAGGCATCTCATTGTCGGGTACATCATTCCCCAACTGGCACAGACAGGAGATAGCATAGAAATTCACCAAGCAGAACAAAATCGAGGAATTTACATTTTGCACTTAGGGGCACTTCGCTGCAATTAAACACAAACGGTTACACATTTTGAAACCAGGATCTTCTTAAGGCAGCCTCTAGCAGTCACATCCTGTAGAGCCATCCCCCAAGAAGACCAAACAGTGTGGTAGATTTTTTTTCAGCACGTAAAGAAATAAGGCTCAGAGTCTTCAAGTGTTCGCATTTCACTTTTCAACATGAGAACAATGAAACATTCCAGAAGAAAATCTTCATGCTCCAATTTATTGGCACCTCCAGGTACCAAGAGGTGCATTAGGTTTGTAAACAGTCCTGAAATTGCAGGCAAAGATGGCTGGAGGACCTCAGGCATTGGGTCTGGAGGAAGACAGAGACAACCCAGTCTGAAGCAGAATTCCAGACCCCTAATCGCCTTCTTCCAGGCTTGGGTTGGGGAAGCAACAATCAATTGTGAAAATATTCTCCAGGAATATTGGGAGGGGAGAGGTGCGTGGCCAGTGGTGCTGCTGAAATCAAATGTCACTGATTGGCTATAAAACCAACTCTTGTGCCATAATGAGAACCAAAATTCCAACCACAGCTTCCACAGCAAGAGAACAGGAAAGTGTCCCAGCTGGTTCTGGTGCCCAAGAACCTTGCAGCTCCAGGGTTCTTGGCAAGTTTATGCCTGTGGTCAGAAAAATCACCTGAGTTGCGGTGTCTCCTTGATCCCCAGTGGCCTCTGGAGGCTGCTAGGATGGCAACTTCCCCAGTTTACAGCAGAGACTGGGGCATTTCCGGCTGGTGAGCAGAGAGGCTCAAATGTTAACAGGCCCCGCCATCGCTGCATTTGCACCCAGGCTGCCCTGGTGTCCTTGAGGTGGGCACGGAGACCCCAAATTGGCATCCGGTTAGCTCCCCAAGCAGCCAGGACTGGGTGGTCTTGACACTAGGCACCTGTCACAGCAACACTGCACTGCCTGTGGGTTCAAAGTTGACACTGTCCTCTGTCTTCAGGTAGTACTAAAGATCTTGTCCTAAATGGTGGGGCTCTGAACACTGGCATTTCAGCACACGCTTCTCTTCTCCTTGAACATCAGGACCTGCTAGCTCATTCTACTGTGTGCGAGTGTGTTTGTGTGTGTATGTGTGTATACAGTGCAGTATAGAGTGAGAAAAGGAAAGTGGAGAGAGGAGAGCTGGGGCTTTAGGAAGCACTCTTGTATCACAGTGAGTCCAAAACTACGTGCACGAAAAACCAAAAAAAGAGTGCCAGTGTGCCAATGAGCTGGCCAGTCCCAGTTGGAAAACCTCTGATCTACAACATCCTATACTGAATAGCAAAAGGTGTTTCCTGGACATGGTCACATGTGCTTCAAGGCTGAGACGACATTTCACAACATGTTTACCAGGTATTATCACTGCTGGTACTTTTGGTTAAACTGGAAACATCATCTCTCGCAGGAAAACAAAGAAAACTATGGATTTTTCTGAAATGATGAGTCACATGGAAACAATAGCTCTGAGAAGTAAGAGATTCTAAGAAATTTACCCTTCAGGCTGGTTGCCTCTAAATTCAGTTGGTAAATATTTTTTAAGTATTAATGCAGTAGTTTTTAGCATATCCTCTAAATGTACACATCACTAATTCCAGAAAATCTTCACTACCCCTCAAAAAAGCCTGTAACTTAGCAGTCACTCCCCACCCACCCCAGTCCCTGGCCCCTAGTAACCACAATTCTGTAATGTGTCTCCACAGATTTGCCTGTTCTTGACATTTCATATAAATGGAATCATGCAGTATGTGACTTTTCTCAAGGTTTCTTTCACTTAATATGTTTCCCAGGTTCATCCATGTTGAAGTATATGCCAGTACTTCATTTTATTTTATAGTTGAATACTGTGCCATTGTATAGGTATACCACATTTATTTACCCATTGATCAGCTGATAGACATTGAGGTTATTTCCATTTTTGCCTCTCATAAATCACAGTGCTAGAAACATTTACATAAAAGTTTTCATGTATGTGTATGCTTTCATTTCTCTTGAGTAAAAACCAGGAGTAGCATTTCTGGCTCATATGGTAATTCTATGTTTAACTTTTTGAGGAACTGCCAAACTATTTTCCAAAGTGGCTACACCATGTTACCTTCTCACAAGTGATGGAGGAGAGTTCCAATTTCGCTCCCACCTGTCATTGCCTATCTCTTTGATTAGAGCCATCTTAGTGGGTGTGCACTGCTATTTCATGGTGGTTTTGATTTGCATTTCCTTCATGTATAGGGATACTGACAGTCTTTTCATGTGCTTATAAGCCACTTATATCTTTTCTTTGTAGAAGATACAAAAATACGTTTACTCATTTGTTTATCAAATATGTTGCTCGTATTTTAAACTGGGTTATTTGGCATTTTACTGATAAAAAGTAAGAGTTCTTGATATATTCTAGACATGAGTATATGGCTTCCAAGTATCTTCTTCCATTCTGAGTTGTTTTGTCACTTTCTTGGTAGTGCCCTCTGAAGCATAAAAGTTTTGTACACCATTGACGAGGTCCAATTTATCTATTCTTCCTTAGGCTTATGTTTTGGGTATCATATCTAAGAACCCATGGCCTAGTCCAAGGCCACAAAGATTCATCCCTGCTTACTTCTAAGTATAGTTATAGCTCTTATATTTAGGCTGATGCACTTTCAGCTAATTTTGTATGTAGTGTGAGGTAGGGATCCAACTGCATTCTTTTGCATGTGGATATCCAGCTGTCCTGGTACCATTTTCCAAAAAGACTACCTTTCCTATTGAATTCTCTTGCCACACTTGTCAAACAAGTGGCCATAAACAAAAGGCCATTCCATTCCACTGGTTTATATGCCTCTTCTTTTGTCTATACCACACTCTTTTGATTACTGTAGCCTTATAGTAAGTTTTGACCTGGCAGTGTGAATGCACCAACTTTGTCCTTCTTTTTCAATGTTTATCTGGCTATTCTGGGTCCTGGCATTTCCATGTGAATTTCAGGATCAGCTTATCTATTTGCACAAAAAAGCTAGCTAGGATTTTGGTAGGGATTACACTCAATCTGTATATAAACTTGAAGAGTATTTTCACCTTAACAATATTTAAGTCTCTGATCCATAAACATAGGGTGTCATCCCATTTATGTAAGCCTTCAATGTCTTTCAACTGTACTTTGTAGTTTTCAGGATATGTCTTGCACTTCTTTCATTAAATTTATTCCTGTTCTCTCTGATACTATTAGAAACAGAATTATTTCTGAATTTTATTTTCACATTGTTCATTGCCAGGGTAAAGAGATGCAATTGATTTTTGTATTGACTTTGTATTCCACAACCCTGAATTCATGTATTAGTTATACTGGGTTTGTGTATGCACATGTGTGCATGAATTCCTTAGAATTTTCTATATACAAAATTGCATCATCTGTAAGGAATTTTACTTCTTTTCCAATTTGGATGTCTTCTATTTCCTTTTTCTTTCCCAAATGCTTCTTAAGTATTAGCATATCAAACATTTTTAACCCAAGTTTTACTTGGCTGCCTGTGCCAGACAGTCTCCTAAGAGAATCCCCTGTTCCAGGGCCACCTTCAGACAAGTTGGTGCTCAAGGATGCTAGTCCACTCAAAGGCAAAAGCACTTTGAGGCCAGGAGGATATTAGCACCACCACCAGCAAGGTCCTATTCCTCACCCCAAGCTCAGAACACTAGGCTTCTATACCCATCTGGTCACCAATCTTATACTTACTACCTTTCTCAAGATCCCAGAATACAGTAAGTCCTCTACACACAAACCTTCTAGTTGCAAACTTTCAAAGAGGCATGCCAGCCCCTGTATTCCGGGTGTACTTTTCAAGTTACTCTACTATAAGACTAAAAATGTTTTACTTTCTGCATTTGTTTTATGTATGTATTACTTGTGTGAAAAGTATTATCAACCTATTATAGTACAGTACTATATAGCTGACTGTGTTAGTTGGGTACCTAGTCTAACTCTGTTAGACTTACTAACAAATTAGACTTACAAACGTGCTCTCAGAACAGAGCTCATTCTTACGTAGGGGACTTACTGTTAAAGGACGGCAGCAGTGGGGTCAGGGCAGGAGAAGTACCCGTGGGAGCCTACGGAAGACCCGGGGCTTGGCTTGATGGTTGAGTCACCCTACCATCTTTCCCCATGGGGGCTGCTTCCCCACCCAACTCCAGCTGCCCAAGGTACAGGGGGGTACAAACCGAAAGGTACCTTATACACACATGTACACAGCCACCAAGAACCAGACTGTCGCTGCCGCACAGTCCAAGCCAAGGAGGGTGGTCCTGGCCCCATCAGTCACACCGTGGATGGCTGTGAGCATCTCCTCTGGCTGGAGCTGTGCTGGCTCAGAACAAAGGTGGTCGAGTTGCTCTTTTTGCTGATGCTCGTCTCCCCAGGCCGGCTGCCTTTCAGGCAGCGGAATGAGCAGCAGAGGAAGCGCTGCACAAGTTCTTGGAAGAGGTGGCCTGTGAAGAGCATGTAGATCCAGGGGTTGCAGCAGCTGTTGAGGCTGGCCAGGAGCATGGCAATGATGAAAGCTGAGGCTGAAGGTGGAGAGGGGAAGAAAGGAGAACAAGGCATCACTGTCGGGGCGTGAAGCATTACCTCCTGAGAACAGGGACCGGGTGCTCTGTCACAAGACAGAGGACCACAGAGACCAAGCCTTCCTTCCTTCCACATCTGTGCTCTGAGCACATGCTCAGCCTGGCCCCAACGCCTCTCCCTGCTCAGCCCAGCCCTGGAATGTTTCTTGTCCCTTCTCCCATTCAAAGCTTACCTACCGCACGCTTCCATCCACATGGCCACCTGTTCATTCCTTACTGACCTCGCAAGTATCAACTGCCTCCCACTCAAGAGCATCCAAGCACACAGAGGTAGAAGCTGCCAGGCCTAGCTTGTATGCTAGCCCTGCCAACCACAAATACTTCAACTCCCCAAGAAACTGCTGTTTTCTCATCTCTAAATGACGATGACCAGAGTCCCCAAATCTCACAGGAACATGCAAGGGTGGAAGAGTAGTATCAGGCCACCTGATACTACAAGTGGCCAACGCACTGCAGTCGTAATCATGACCACGTGCCAGGGGGCCACCGGGGCTCGTTTAAGTCCATGCTGTTCTGAATGAGTGACCCAGCAGGGGAGGAGAAGGCTCCAGACTTATTCTGGCTGACTTACGAAGATGCTCTTATCCCAGGAATATCTGATCTTGCATGCAGATCTCAGAGGTAAGGTCTTTTGCTTTGCTCACACACAGCCAGGACACTCCAGCAGGAAAGAGTGCTGTAAAATCACCCCCTCCACTTTCTGCTCACCTGCATTCTAGCTCCAAGTCCCAGGGCCACACCACTCTCCTGGTGGTAGTCTTCTACACTGAAATCCTCACTGTGTCAAGTATCTCCTTTCAAAATATAGCCACGCAGTGGGTTGCTGCAATCGGGCACTGACTGAAAAGGTGACTGAGAGAGGGCTGCCCCAGTGGAGTCCAGCAGGCTGGCAGTGGATGCTGCAGTGGCCACTCGGGGTCCCGTGTTAGGACCCAGGTGCTCAGCCCAGAGCTGCCAGAGAATAGCAAGCAAGCACACAGCGGAGTTTCTCTGGGGGCACTGCCTTCAGCCAGAGGGTAACACCCTGTCCCAGGCAGCCCAGATCCAGTGCCTGCTTCATGCCAGGGCCCCCAGGCTGGCTCCTGTGTCTGCATGCCAGCTGCTCTGAAGGGTCAGCCCAGTTCCTATGTTCCTGTGACTCTGGCCCCAGCTATGCTACAGCAGAGTGATGGGGAAGTCAGTGTGGACAAAAGGAAGGTGTGGAAATCAGAATCTACAGACTCATCCAAGAGAGGTGTGGTCAGCAGCCAGCACCTCCTGGGGGGTCAGGCCCATGGGGAGCCCCTTACAGAGGACCCAGACACAAACCTATGGGGTGTGACTCCCCTTCATACCCTATTCATTCTCTGAGCCACATCTACTATCTGAACCCTAACAGTCTTATCTTGAAATGGAGGTGACACCCACTAGGACTTTGAGAAAATTGAAAAAAAAAAAATTGTGTGAAAGGACATTGTGAATAGCAAAGTGTTTATTCAAGTAATTATATGATTTACAGATATGAAATGTGATCAACTGCAGAATTTTTTTATCGCTCCTGAGTTCAATTCAAGACACTGTTCTTTGCCCTTTTTTCCATGACTTAAAATAAAAACTCAAAACCCAGAGCCATGAGATTGGATTACATGACCCCAAAGGAACTCCAGATGGTCTGCTGTAGAAAACTTTACTCTGCCATAAGAAACGCAACAGGGAAGGGGGCTGCAGCCATGGGTGAGAAAGGGATTTCAGGGTCTCCACCAGGTGAGCTGGCTCTCATTCATGTCTTCTATTCCTCTCAGCAAAAGGAATACATGTCCCTCAAGGTCCAAGCCCTGAGGGCTTGCAAACCACTCTCTTTGGTCCTGTAGAGAAGGGGGACTGAGTGGGAGGCATGAACCAGGGATCGGCCCTCACACCTGCCTGGCCTGAGCTCAGGCCATTTCTCAGGAAAGGGAGGGAGGGGAGGAGGAAGAGATCAGATGTCCACGCATCCTTCCCTGCTGTGTCTACTCAGTGCCAGCCACCCAATCAACCCTGCAGACCTGCCCTCAAGGGATTTACAAATCCAGGTGAGAAAGAGAGAAGCAAGACAGGCCTTCTAGTCAGTGGGGAGTGGCAGCACTGGCAGACGGGCAATGAGCCCAAGGCAGGGCACTAGGGGTAATCTTCAAGTGGGGGCTGCTACGTGCCAAGCAGAGGACTGAGCAGAAAGGGCGATGCGCCAACTGCAAATATCCCCTGCTGGGCATTTACCGCCCCCAGAAGACAGAGACCACGCTGAACTTCCACCCAGAACCATGACTAATGGAGGAGGTGAGTGGCCGAGGGCCATGCGAGGACAGGGTGTCCCAGTGGTCCACCCACCCACCAGCCTGGCTTTACTCAAGCCTCACGAAGTCCCCTATGCGGATTTCCCGGTACTGCCCCCGCCTGTCACCATCACTGTCACCCTGGGCCCAAATTAGCCCGGAACAGCTGACGGGCAGCTGGCCATGGCCTCTCCTCTCTGGCTGCGTGGTCCCTGAGGCAACAAACACATGTCACTCACAATTCAAAGACCTATGGCTCAGTTGAATATGATCAAGCTCATCAACCTTCCTAAGTGGCTCTCACTCCAGAAACCACTCACTCAGTCCAAGGTCTTCCTTCCCCACCCCTACCCCATCCCATGGCTCCCAAAACAGGCATCTCTCATAAGGACTAAACCCCTTATCCCTACAGGAGCTATAGGAGAATTTGGGAATTGTGGTGCACAGAGACTTTTTTTTAAATGATTTCTGTATGTACATGTACAGAAAGATTGAATACTAGTATGCATTCCAGGGCTCTGTCTTTGAAAAGACCACCATTTTACAACATCAGAATTGTAAAAGTCACAGGTGTATGATCTCACTATGTATAAGGTCAGGAAAAAGAGCTAAACTTGTGGACTACAGAGCTTTAAATAGTCTTCTGTGATGCCACTGCTCAAATCTGGGGACATGTGGGGCCTACCAGGAAGGACCTGAGAAATAACCATGTTCTAGAGGCAGAAGAGGTGAGGTCTCCTGCAAACTGAGAGCCCTTCCTTACCCTTTGGAGAATGACAGGACCCTGCCACCAATTTGGGCCACGCATGCAAAGGCAAGCCACAAGTTTTGGGAACAGAGATAATACATTAAAGCCTCATTACTCAATGTGCAGTCAAAGGCCCTGCATGGGCATCACCTAGGAGCTTGTTAAAAATGCAGTCTCACGGGCCCCACCCAGATGTGCTGAATCAAAATCTGCATTTTAACAAGTTCTCCCACGTGATTCTGTGTACACAGTGAAGTCTGAGAAATATTCCAATGATCTCATCAGGCAATGTGCGTATGTTTCTTTGCATAGCCAGCTCCTACTCATCCTTCAAAACCCTTTTCAAATGTCGATTCCTGTCTGATCCTGGTTTTTTTCCAGGGAGCTAGAATCAACGGATGCATCCTGGGGGCACTCATAGTACTTCTGACAAATGAATACAACTCTTTCAATATCATCCCTTCATATTGTAGTTATTTCTGCTTATAATCTGTGGTTGAGGACTGTGTGACATCTGTGGCTCTGTCCTTGGCCAGTAGCAGAGGCTGGAAAATGGGAAACGTCCGATAAGGGACTAAGTTGAAGTGAAGCATGAAATTAGCAGACAGGAAGTCCTGATAAACAAGTCACCACCACCAGTATGCTGGAAAAGCAAAAAGACAATTTCTTAGCTTGATGATGGGAGACGGGCCCCTAACAAAATGACTGAACGCAAATGCAATTCCCTCTGGGAAAAGTGAGTTCACACTCAAATATTAAGGTCAGGTGGGAATAAAGAGAAAGAAATAGAATGAAGTGTGACCATTACAGTGTGAGGCCTGGACCGTGGAGGGCAGAGGCCCGTGGTACTGAACTATCTGTAAAGGGTGGGAGGTACCAGCGTCCCGGCAGAGCACGGAGGGAGGTGCTGGCAGAGGCTGCCCCTCAGTGGCCTGGAATCAGAATCACAGGAAGACCACCTGGTTACATCATTCTGCCACCCACTCATCCGAAAGGGTCCCCTTGGGCTTCCAAAACTCAGAGCTAGAATCTCCCTCACCTTGCGTTATACTGCCTCCTCCAGGGAAAACCTTAATTTTCCTTGACCTCTTAACACTCTTGTTCCCAGCATTACTGGACTTGCCACCACTCAATGAAAATTGCAGTCCCTCTGTGAAAATGCACTCCTGAGCTCAACAATCCACACTCCCTCAGCAGTATGGACAGACTCCATGACCTGACACACCTTGAAATTCTCCTCTTTGTAAAGCACTGACAGCGTACTTACTGCATGCCAGGCCCTATGCCACCAGCACCTTCTACCCTCCCCACAACCTAAAGCCTAATCTTAACCCCAGCAAACAGCCCCAGGCAGGTTGAGTCAACCATTCAGGGTGACTGCTGCTCATTTTACAGATGGGGAAACACTTACAACCAGGCCTCCTGTGCATTTCAACCTTCATCCTGGCAAAATACCCTGGCAGATATTTGATTACTCCAGTGGGGGGGGGGCTCACTTCCTCACTGAGTAGCCAATTCTATGGCCAGAGGTCTGTATAGAGTCTTATTTATCTTCAGTTCAACTCCAAACACCCATCCCTGCCCCATCTTATGCACCTTCCTCCTCCCATAACCCACATATTTGTTCAACTAGCATCAGTGGTATTTCCCCTGTGACAAGGCTCACAGTCCACCTCTCTGGCTTTTAACAAGCTTCTCCACATACCAACCTTCCTGGACACACTACTTACTGTCCAGCAGACTCTGCCACCACCCCAGCTCCTACACCCAGGCTCTTGAGAGAGAAATGTCTATTTCCTCTGATTGCCGAGACTCTCAAAGTCAATCCCAAGAATGACAACACAACTTTTAACAACCAGAACGGGGGGAAGGAAGAATGACATTGATCATGTGGTCCCTAGGTGCCATGGGTCACACTATGTCATCCTCATACAGCCCTATGAGTAGACCTGCTATCCTAACAGAGGAGGAAGCTGAGGCTCAGAAGGGGGAAATCATCAGCTCAAGGACACACAAGAGAAGTGGAAGGGTGGGCTCCAAACACAGGCCAACTCCTGCTCCACCAGCTATTACCCTGCACTGAGACCTGGGGACTACAGTGCCTGCCTGCTGTCTTGACCAACTGGATACATCCATCTGTCTTCATCTCCTCCCAGAGAAGCACCTTCTAGCCAGAGTCCTTGTCACCACCAGCAAAGCAAGTTCCACGGAGTTCAAGGGGAAAGGCTGGTGCCAAATCTTTTGGCTGTGCAATTTGATCCTGAAGGTTCCATCCGGGGCTTGTCCAAACCTGCCAGGGATGTCTGGTCCCAGCCCTCCTTCTGCAGAGTTCCAGACTCACCAAAGCAGGGCCCCAATAGCATGTGGCTACTGGGTGGAACCCTGGTAGCTCAGACAGTAAAGTGTCTGCCTACAATGCGGGAGACACGGGTTTGATCCTTGGGTTGGGAAAATCCCCTGAAGAAGGAAATGGCAACCCACTCCAGTATTCTTGCCTGGAAAATCCCATGGACTGAGGATCCTGGTAGGCTACAGTCCATTGGGTTGCAAAGAGTTGGACACGACTGAGTGGCTTCACTTCACTTCACTGGGTGGGAAGGAGGGGGGGGGGGCGCTCATTAAATTATCAGAACCCTCCTCTTGCTTGTTTCTCCTCTATTTTCTCCTCTGAACAATGAAAATACTGAAACTGAGAGTTTTCCTCTTTGCTTTGGCTCCAATGAAAAGGCAGCCTCTTGTGCAGCCACCCATCCCCCCCCCACACACACACAGAGGGACTTTATTATGCTATTATTATATTTCTATCCTGTTTTCCCCTTTCTTCCCATTTTCCCCTGTCTATTTTGTCATGTCTGGGACCTGAATCCTTGAGCCCCCTCCCCAAGTTATTTTTCGAACAAGGTGAGCTCTAAACCAATAAAGGCAGAGCTTAGTGAGAGTGAAGGTTTAGGCGGGGAGAGATGGGAAAAGAGCAGCTGGGTTTCCGGGGACTGGCAGGGGGAGCGAAACCTCAGGACAGGGCTCTGTGGGGGCCACAAGGCCCGCTGACAAGCCACATCGGATTTCTCCAGCTGCTCCGTTAGTCCCTGACCTGTGAGCAAAGCAAAGTCAGCGAGCTGAATGATGACTTCAGCTTTCACGGACTGGCTGCTCTGTTGCAGACTGCTGGAAGCAGTAGTGATTCTATCCAGAAATGGGATGAGTTTGCTTTCTCACGGACAGAACGGCTGAAAGAAAGCCCCTCAGTCTTTCCTTACAAGTCTCTGAGCCGCCGGCATTCCAGTGCATTGAAATTACCTTCCAACCAAAAGGTGTAAGTAATTCACCACCACAGATCACCTCTCCTGCTGTTTGCAAATGAGCTACAGGAACTGTCTGTGATGAAGGCTGAAGGCGCAAAGCATCGGCCACAAGCCAGCGCCCAGGTGCTCTGCTCCCTTGGATCCCTCCTCAAAGCATCCCACCCTACCTTCTCCTCCCGGTTTCCCCAGCCACCCTCAGTTCTGACCCTCCTGTCCTCCAGTTTGGAGAGCGCGCGTTCCCCGCCTACCAAAATCACCTGGGCTCCCGAGACAAATGGGAAAGTTTGCGTCCCGTTCGCTCTCTTCCCTGCTGGCCCCCACCCCTCAGCAGAAGCACTGTCTTGATTTCCTGGGCACTGAGAGCACCGCCCCCGTAGTACTCACCTCTCCACCTCGCGGCTGGAGAGAGGGCGAGGGGCGCAACTCGCCTCCTCCACTCTGCAAGGGATTCCCAGACTAGTCTCTGCCCCCTGACGGCGCCCTGCCCCACACCTTCTTGGGCTCGGTTGGAAGAATCCAAGCGCCCATCTCCCGCTGCTCTGATCCATACCAGGTCTCCCGGGTTCACGCTGACTTGAACTTAAAAGTGAAGTTCAAGGTAAAGGGAACTTGACGTCGCAGGAGCTTGGGCCTGGGTCAGAAAGTCACCTCCCCGCATCGCTCACCAGGTGGAAAAGGAAGTCATTGGCAGCTCAATTTCCTGGTCCATAATAGTGAATCAAACACCCCATATGTGGCCTAAAAACTGTAGTAGGGATTTTACGTGCATTTTCTCATTTCATTTCCCTACTGTTGAAGAGGGGTCTTCCCTGGTGGCTCAGTGATAAAGAATCTAGCTGCTAATGCAGAAGACTCCGGTTGGATCCCTGAGTTGGGAAGATCCCCCAGAAAAGGGAATGGCAACCCACTCCAGTATTCTTACCTGGGAAATCCCTTGGGCAGAGGAGCCCGGTGGGCTACAATCCATGGGGTCGCAAAAGAGTCGGACACTGGTTAGCAACTAAACAACTGCAGGGGAAAACTGGTTTATCATCTTTGCTATTTTACAAAAAGGGAAGTCAAGGCTCAGGAAAGTTATGCCCCAAATCACGTGGCCAGCAGATGACGGGGCCAAGGCTCAGAACAATCCACGAAGCGCCCCAAACCCTGGACAAGGACAGCAGGACCAGGGCCCCGCCCCATCGCGCTCCCTCCTCCCGGTGTTTCTGCCCGCGCTACCTTCCTTGGGCGCATCGGCATCCCACACACTCCACATCTGCACGAAAAAGAACGGCGTCCAGCACACGATGAAGGCCAGCACGATGATGAAGGTCATCTTGACCGTGCGGATCTTGGCCTTAGAGATGAGCTTGACGTTGCTGACGCGGGCCAGAGCCGCGCGCCCCCCGCAGTCTGCTGCCGCGCCCTCAGCCCCAGCGGCAGTCTCGGCCGCCGCCGCCGCCGTCTTGAGCCGTAAGTTCTGCCAGATCTTGAAGCTGATGAGGCCGTAGCAGGCGGCAAGCACGATGACCGGCACAACGTAGACGGCGAGCGTGATCCACGTGATGTAGGCCTTGGGCCCCCAGGGCTGGATGAAAACGGCCCAGCAGTCGAAGACGCCGTCCGCCACCTCGCGCAGCGAGAAGATGTGCACCTGCGGCGTGCTGGCCACCAGGCAGCCGAGCCATGTGGCGAGTACCGCCAAGCGGTCGGTGCGGCGGCGCAGCGAGCGCAGCGGCTGGCAGATGGCCAGGCAGCGGTCAAGCGACATGAGCAACAGCAGGTAGGTGGACGCGAACATGCCCACCACCTGCAGGTACTTGACGAGGCGGCACAGCAGATCAGGCCCGTAGAAGCGGAACGTGATGTCCCACAGAAGCTGCGGCAGCACCTGGAACACCGCCACCACCAGGTCGGCTATGCTCAGGTGCTTCATGAAGAAGAAGAGGCGCGAGTGCTTGTGGCGCGTGGTACGCAGCGCCAGCAGCACGCACGCGTTGCCGCTCAGCGCCAGGAACAGAATGAGGCACAGCACGGCCACTTCCACCCGCGCCAGGGCCTCGTTGCGCTGTGGCGGCCCGGCGGTGCGGTTGCCCTCGGTTCCGGGCGGCGCCGCGCTCCCGTTGACCGCCTCGGCGCTCCAGTTTACAGCAAACGCACCCTCCATGACCGTGGCCACCGCGGTGCGCCCCGGCCTTCGAGCCCTTTAAGGCGCGGCGCGCGGGGCGGGGCCCGACGCGCAGTCCCGGCGTGCCTGGGGGCGTGGTGGGGGCTCCTGGGTTCCCCTCCCCGAGATTCCGCGGACCGATCTGCTGGGTCGGACTCTGAAACAAACCCCGAGGGCCGTGAGAAGACCGTGCGTTTCTCTCCCGACGCAGGTATGCCTCAGCTGTCCCCTTCCCAGGAACCCCAAATCATCTAGGACTAGGGCCACCACTGCCGGCCCTGGGGTTGCTGGGCGGCCGTCCTAGAAATTCCCGTTTGAGATACTTACGAGACACTGGGAATGAGCGGGAATCTACCGGACCCGCAGTTCCTTAAGATGGTCGCTTCCACTGAAGGAGAGGGAGGAACATAACCAGTTTCCTCCCGGACTGGGGCTTCTAAGCCAGCCACCTCCCCTAAGAATCCCCCAACTAGTTACTCCCCAGAACCCACAGGACAGCCTCCTTTCCTAGTAAACCCCACTCCGGATGCTCCCTCTGATCACCACCGCCCCCCTAACCCGCTCTCAGCCACTTGCCTGGGAAACCCTGCTCAAGACCATCCCCCCTCGAACCCCGTTTCTAAAATGCTTAGCCATCCACCCCTGAATTTCCACAACAACCGCTTCTTTGCCTCCATCCTGGAGGCACTCCTGACTCAGTATATCCAGGACGCCTAACCTCTATTTTCTGTACCCCTGACACCTCTCGGGGGAGATCCTCCCCAGCCCAGCATCCTCGAAGGTTGGGGAATTCAACAGGCGTCTTGGCCCCCGACAGCCAAGGGATCTCCGAGATCCTGAGCAGGTACTTTACAATCTCTGAGTACCGGCGGCGCCTCCAGAAACTAGGATCTCAAAGTACTCCAGCACCTTCTCTCGGGTCCCAGTGGCTCCACCAGCGCCAAACATCCTGTCCACTCACGCGCTGGATCCAGCTACCTGAACCGAGTCGTAGGGAGAAACTAAAGTTGGTTCCCTGGGGAAGTTGCACCGCCACGGATGGTTCCCAAGACGCGTGCGCTCCCGGCGCAGGTTCAAGTGGCTGCTGCCAGTACCCAGTCTGATAGGATGCGGAGGGCTCGCTGTAACTTGGTGTGGAATCACCTCGCCTGCAGCCCTGACTGGTCGCTAGAGTCGATCAGGCTAGGGGCGATCAGGGAGCCCCGTCGAGGCTATGCGCGCGGACGGCGTTAGGATGCGGCGCTGCCTGCCGGTGGCTAGCTTTTCCGCAGCGTGAAGCGTGGGCTGTATAGATCCCACATAGATCCGCTAGGGGGCGCGGAAGGCAGGCCTTGCCGGTTCCCGCAAAGCGGTGTAATCTTGCCCAGCGTTGCCCCAGCGCGGTAACAAACAGGCTTATTTCACAGTGACTTAAAGCAGCAAGAGGGAAGAAGCTCGTAAATAATATGCTTGGTTTCTTCCTTTCTTGGTTTAGAAGCTCCTGACTCTCAGGCAAATGGGAGGCTCGGATACCAGTGTTTCCCTGTTGAATTGACAGTGATGAAGCTACAAAAGCATTTAACCTGTATTTCCCAATCACCAGGTCAATTTCAAGGCTTCTTCCCCTCCTACTGTTCCAGGGAGCTTGATGTAGTGGATTTCGCAGTGAATTCATGCTTTGGAATACTTTTGCTCCTATTTCCATTCATGAGGAATGAGATACTTTCTGTTCCAATCAGCACTAGGAGAGGTCTTTCTTCACCTAGTTTTAGGGGAAGACCTCAAGGCCAAAAAAAAAAAAATCATTTTAAAAGGACTCTGCTTGTCTATGGCCCAAAGCCATTACTGCTTCTTTGCTATGCTCCAGTGTTAAAATCCTAAAAGATGTCAAAGTAATATGAAATTTTAATATGAAATTTTGACTCCTAGCTCTTTTTCTATTCTAAAGTCATTTTTTAAAATAATTTAGCTGGAGAGGGTGTGGAGAAAAGGGAACCCTCTTACACTGTTGGTGGGAATGCAAACTAGTACAGCTGCTATGGAAAACAGTGTGGAGATTTCTTAAAAAACTGGAAATAGAACTGCCATATGACCCAGCAATCCCACTTCTGGGCATACACACCGAGGAAACCAGATCTGAAAGAGACACGTGTACCCCAATGTTCATCGCAGCACTGTTTATAATAGCCAGGACATGGAAGCAACCTAGATGCCCATCAGCAGACGAATGAATGAGGAAGCTGTGGTACATATACACCATGGAATATTACTCAGCCATTAAAAAGAATTCATTTGAATCAGTTCTAATGAGATGGATGAAACTGGAGCCCATTATATAGAGTGAAGTAAGCCAGAAAGATAGAGTCCATTACAGTATACTAACACATATCTATGGAATTTAGAAAGATGGTAACGATAACCCTATATGCAAAACAGAAAAAGAGACACAGATGTATAGAACAGATTTTTGGACTCTGTGGGAGAAGGCGAGGGTGGGATGTTTCAAGAGAACAGCATCGAAACATGTATATTATCTAGGGTGAAACAGATCATCAGCCCAGGGTGGATGCATGAGACAAGTGCTCGGACCTGGTGCACTGGGAAGACCCAGAGGGATCGGGTGGAGAGGGAGGTGGGAGGGGGGATCGGGATGGGGAATACATGTAAATCCATGGCTGATTCATGTCAATGTATGACAAGAACCACTACAATACTGTAAAGTAATTAGCCTCCACTAATAAAAAAATAAAAATAAAAATAAATTAAAATAAAATAATAAAATAAAATAATTTAAATTGGCTGAGGAAAAAATGGCAGAAAGAAAAGAGGGTTCAAAAGTGGACATGGTTCTTAAAGTATCATTAAATGCATCTCTTCCTGACATTTCACTTACCCCTTTTTAACTTATGTGGCTAGAATAGTGTTGCTAACAGTTACAGCCCTGCGCCAAGACATACTAGGGGTGGCCACTGCTGCTGCTAGACTCTGGGCTTTATCACCTACGACCTGTGTGGCCAAGTCACGGAGCCCGAGACTCAATTTCTCTGGGGGCTGACCTCGTGGGGCTGTGAGGAAGTAAGACCACTCTCGTGAGGTGTGCTCTGCAAACAGTTAAGTACATCTGACGCTGTTTTCTCACACTGACAATCCTCACCCCAGGACCATCCTATGAAAACATGTTCTCATCCAATCAACCTCCATCTTACTTATCTTCCTGGATTGAACTAATTTATCTTTTCAATTAAGACCAACAGAGTGTGTGTGTGCATGAGAGAGAGAGAGAGAGAGAGAGAGACTGTACCATGCAAGGACCTCTGAGTTAGGCCCTCTGAACCCGAACTGGTGTGATAAGAATCTGAGATCTTTACCTGTTCAGGGAAGCCCTCCCTGACCACCTCAGCCCACTGAGAATTCCCCATTTTCTGAAGCTCTGATGCTTGACTGTAGATTCACCTATAATATGAATGTGTCGAGTCTCCCCGGTGCAGTGTAAGTGCCTAGAACACGTCTTGCAGATCATGGTCCTTTATATAATTACCATTATGTTTCCTGTTATGCGTACCTATCAATAGCAATGTGTTGAGAGAATGACACTGGATTACCCAAAAACACCCCTCTGCAAATTAACCACTAGGTTCAGTCTTTTGCTTCCCAGAATAATCTTTCTGAGGAAATCTGGCTAAAAGAGGACTCTTTGTGAGAAAACATACTATTCTGATATGTTCGCTATTTTTCCTGAGAGGGAGAAGCGATTGCAGAGATAAAGCATGATGCTTCCAATTCCACAAACATGTCCACTGACCGTGGCTGTGACAATACAACTTCCTATTAAGGAACTACTATCAACACACACATTCTCCACTTGCAGACACCACTGGCCTATGTTAAGGCATGACCAGAGAGAAAAAGCCTTCTAAGGGGGTAACAGAGCTTGGAATAAAAGCAGGTTGTTCTTCTGTTTTCTTTTTTTAAAGCAGGCTATTCTTAGGCAGAAGAAAAGGTTTATTGAGAATCAGGAGCTTTGGAATGTGTGACTGTTTGGAGAGGTAGGGCCTAGAGGAGGGAAGTCATTTAAACGTGGGGGTTCTCTTCACAGCAAGTGAATGAATGAACAAATGGGGTTCCCCCGATGACTACTGAGGAGGAAACTGAGGTTCAGAGAGGAGAAGGGGCTTGCCCAAGGCCCCGTAGCTGATGAAAGAAGGCCAGCGTGGCTGGAGTGACACATGAGGCAGATCTAGAGAGGTGGCAGGCACTAGACCCCCAGCCTGGTCGACTTGGGTCTTACCTGAGGGAGAGCTGTGACCAGTGACAGGGCAAGGGGCTGGCTTGGGGGTCAGGTACGAAACTGCAAGGGGCTGAGAGAGGTAACTTGAGATAGTCTCCTGGGATCACTGGAGAGTCAGCCTAGATTCATTCAGGGCACAAAAAGCAAGCAAAGCTCTTCTCCCATCTGCCCTCCACCCCCAACTCCCTCCCCCCCACCCACCACCTCATTTCTATCAGTCCATCTCTGGTCGGATGAAAGAACCTAAGGGGAGTTCCAGTGACCCGACAGCTCCAAAACAAAATTTGCCCTAAACCTCCACCAATTCCAACAGCCCATTTGTTTTCATTTGTAATTTAAAAAAAAAAAAAGGACATTTCTTTCCAGAGGGGGCCCTTATTGAAGTTTACCTCTCCTGCTGGGTTGCTGAATGCATTGTGGCTGGCCGAGCAGACTCTGTGCTCTTTCTGGCACAAACATTCACTCAGTAAATATCTTCTAAGCACCTACTGTGTGCCCAACAGAGTGACCGAGGATCACAGCACCGAGCCTGGAGTTAAAGTCCACCAACCAGCGCTCCTGAGATGGGCAAAAGTCAAGACAAGCAGAAGGACCGGGATCTCAACTGCACCAGGGATGCAGAGTCCTGTATGACCAAGGGCAAGTCCTCATTCCTCCAGAGCCCTGGTTTCTTCTCCTAAAAATTAGGGCATTGGAAAATCTCTAAGATCCCTCACAGTTCTCACTATCATTC